GGGTGTTTCACTGACATATGCAAGCTCAACGATGATATCTATTTGTTGCTTGATCGGTCTTGGTGAGGCGTATTATTAGGGGTCGAAGACAATGGCTATTTTGATGGAGGGGTAAGTCTTATATTTTTCTTATATTTTAATTTGATTATTTTTTTTTAAATTTATGTAAGTTACTAATATATGTCTTTTTTGTAAAACAGCATATCGATGCGTGGGTGTCACGTCTTCTAATAATTAGGAAACTTAAGGAAAATAAAAGAAATACACGATATACAATTATGCCGACGTCTTTTAACGCCATTCACTTGAAGAATCAACGAGATGAATCATTTGCATTGGGCAATGGACAAGTTAAACTTTATCCTGCATGGTGGGAGGTCGATAAGGTTAGTATTTATTTTAGATTGAGTTTAAAGGTATTCATAAATAAGTGCGCAAATGAATGAATTATTACTTATGATTGCAGGTGTTTATCCCTGTTTTAAAACGTAAACATTGGCTTCTCGTCGAGCTTCAGCTCCCATCCCTTAAGGCAATAGTATATGAAAGCATGATAAATTACATATCATTAGCTGATTTAAGAGATATACTTCTGTAGTGTAGCAATCCATAGCGTATGCGCTTGAATCATCTTGGTTTAGATGAAGAGAAACTTTTATAACATGGCCACACGGATAACCAGATGTTTGCCATTTCTTACAACTACACGTCTTTGCATTTAGATCGACAAGCCCATTTAAGTTATTATCCAGTACTTCAAACAAAGTGTTTGAACATGGTTCAACTCTCCATGACGTTGACTTCACAACACGTTTCGTTATCTTTTTTTCTGTCCATGGTGTAACACGATGTTCCAATGTTCCTGTAAATTTAAATAAATAATACTTAGTAAATTATATGATAAGTTACGAATTTAAAGAAATAATACTTGCATGGTTTCTTTTCTTGTAGTACCACTGTTGAATAGAGGCTCAAAAAAACTCCATTAACATAGTAATGGGTAATTTCCGGGAATGACGACTTAGAGCGTTGATTGATTCTGCACTATTAGACGTCATGAAACCATATCTTGCTCCAAGTTGATATACTCTTGACCATCTTTCAAACCTGACATCTTCTAGTGTTTGAGCACACTGAGGCAAAACACGTCTTAAACAGTTTATATGCTTATTAAAATCCACTTCCCGATAAGCTTTTACAGCCTTCCAGTATGTCCATTTGTGATTTTTTATACCAGCAGACCTTGATTTTAGATTTCTATATAAATGAACACCACAAAGTCCATGAAAAGCATCTGGGAAACACCTTCTAATAGCGTTGTCAATTGAGTTTGCCCTATCGGATATGATTATCAGATTGCTAATAGGACCTATGCAATCCCTAAGATGCCCCATAAACCATGTCCATGAATCAGAGGTTTCAGATTTGCCAACCCCGTAAGCTATTGGCAATATCCCATTGTTAGCATCCATGGCTACTGCTAATAAGTTTACTGCAAGGTATCGACCTTTCAAATGTGCTCCGTCAACTATAATAACTGGGCGCATGCAAGTAATAAACGAACGAATCTACAAAATAATATACACAAGAAATATAATCATTTAAATGTGAAATGCATGTAACTAACAAAAATGAGTCAACAGAATTATATTGATTTACTAACCGCAGTACCAATGGCGATAAACAGCAACTCAAAGCGTCCATCTCTATCTATTTTGATATGAGTTACCGACCCAGGATTTTTCAGCTTTAAATTGTGACAATAAGCCGGCAGTTGGGCAAACGATGCTTCTGGCGACCCCGTCAACAATTCCAAGGCATAACATTTGGCTCTCCAAGCTTGAGAATATGATATACTAATCTTGAACCGAGCATTCATGTTAGTCATAATTTCATGTCCCCGATATATACCCTGCCATTCAAAAACATTAATTCAGCCAGAAAACCACCCAACACCTTTTTGTTTGCCTGTCTATGGTGAGGAAAAACTTGGGTTCTTGAACATGTATGTTTATCAATAAAAGTCCTAACTTGAAACATTTCGCAATCTTTTATCCTCTTTGCAATCATACGCCATGTACAATTTTTGTCAATCATACACCTTGTTTCGAAACGATCTTTGCTTAATTTGTTAACTTTTAGTTGATAGCCATCCTCCACACATTTCGTATACAAAGCTATCTTCAAGTCTTTATTTGTATCAAAACAATCATCTTTCTTGATACGAATAACTTTTGTGTAACAATCAACTGCTTTCTTTACCAACTCTTCTTCCGGTATCTGAAGTAATTCTGGCATATTCCAGTTATACTCCCGTGGCATTTTCTTTTCTTCGGGGACTTTTTCTTCTTCTTTTTCTTCTTCAGGATTATATGAATTACAGAATGGATGTTCAACATGTTCATTCACAGTCGTAACTTCCTCCTCATTATCATCAACAACATCTTCCTCGGCAACGGCTGTTTCATCATCAAAATTCGGGTATTGACCAATATCAAAATCATTACACGCAGGGTCTGTTTCTTCTTCTGAAACATCATCAAAATCTGAGTATTGACCAATATCAAAGTCCATGTATTGACCAAGATCAAATTTCGAATACTGACTAGTACTCATAATTTTTTCTGTTGGCTCATCATCGTCTAATTGATCAATACGAAAATCAGAATTTGGTGCTGAAAGTATATTGGGATTTGGATTAGAGAAAGGTTGTGGGTTTTGAGAAAAACTTAGTTGATTACTACCCGCTACTGACCCAACAATACTACTTCTAGGTTCAACAACATACAATGTAACATCATCACTTGAAACACTAATGTAAGCAATGAATCGTTCAACATCTTCATTGTCGGTTAACAAATAAACTTTACCATTTCTCTGATAAGATAGCCTAAATCCACTTAGGGGCTCTAAATTCAATTTCTTTGAAACACGTAACATTAGAGTTTCATAATTTAACTTTTTTAATGACAGTTTTAGTTGAAGATTCATGGGTAAAGGCATATATTGTAAAACACCATGAACATTCTCCCATGACCCTCCAAAACACAAATCTATCCAAACATGATCAACATTAGATGATTTCATGGTTGTAAATTAATTTACTAAACAAACGAGCTGTGAAACTAAGACCTGTTGCCGGATGGGGAAGGATGTAGGAACGGATATAGGAACGGATATAGGAACGGATGTCGTCGGAGAGAGTGATAGATGGAGATGGAATGAGTTGCGATTTAGGGATTTAGGTTATGAGTTGTTGCTGCTGCGTAGATATATACCCAAAAAATTTATGTTGCGAAACTAAAACCTGTTGCGAACTTTGAAAATCGCATTGCGATTCTGTATTATCTCGTTGCGATAGTCAGAATCTCGTTGCGAAAGTTAGAATCGCGTTGCAAAAGTCAGTATCGCGTTGCGATTTTGTATTATCGCGTTGCGATAGTCAGTATCGCATTGCGATTTTCCAAATTCGCATTGCGATTTACTTATTCGCATTGCGAATTGGGAAAATCGCAACGCGAAATTGGAAAATCGCATTGCGATAGTCATAATCGCGTTGCGAATCTGGAAACTGATTTGCGATAATGGAGATCGCGTTGCGAATTAGCGATCGCATTGCGATTTTATTGGTCATTTTGGCAAATCCGGAAAAAGTTGGTTAAAATCGTATATTATATGAGATTTTTGGTCACTGAGGTTATTTTCTCTATTAGTAATACATGTGGGCTTGTTTATTGGGTCAATATAAAACAAATGTAATGACCAATACTAATGTAAATTGACCTATTTTTTGTTGTTATTTATTTATTTAATAAAATAAATGGGTTATGCCACTAACCTATCATGCAACTATTATTTAAAAACTATATAATATATACAAACTATATAACATGCAATGTAACACACACTAATTATTTAACTATTTAACATGCAATGTAACATGAAATGCAATTCAACATGAATTACTATAGAATGTCACATGGAATACCACATGAATTAATATGCACCTATTATTATCTAATATCTAACACATGTAATTATTTAATATGCAATGCAACTAATACTAATACTATAATATTTAATATATGCAACTGTACTAATATGCAACTTACCTTATGCAAAAACATGGCACCATATGATAAAATGCATTTAATATTCAAACTATACTATATGTACTAACTATATATCATATACTATATATTATAAACTACCACGTGTCACCACCTCGGATAAAATAGGTGATGACAATTATCAATATGAATTAATCCTTTATATTATGTTTTATATGTGTTATAATTGTTACATAAATTTTCTTTAAATTAATGATTATATTGAAGATTTATAACATAAGAATGATAATATAATTATTATAATTAGTATTTTATTGTAACATTTAAAAATTAATCATATTAATTAGTATGATTTATTATAAACTTAAAGTCTCACAATTTTATTAAAATCTTATAATTTCATCAATGATAATATAAGTCAGGTAAATGTCAAGTTAGATCAGATCAATAAAAAGTCGGATCATTTACAGGTCAGGCTGAAAACAGGTCGGGTAATACCAGTTATTTATCAGGTCAATATCGGATTCGAGTTCATATTAATCGGATGCAATTCGAGTTCGAGTATCATATTTTCGGTTCAATTCGGGTGTAAGTCCACAATTTCCAGATTCAACTCGAATACAGATCAATACCAATTCCGATTTGAGTCGATTTCGAGTCATCACAACATAAATCAAAAACAATTTCGACTTGAGAGTTCAGATCAACTTTTTACACCCCTATATATAACGAGATTAAATGGGAATGGAGGGCTTTCATTCTAACGGTGAATCCCAAGTTTAAGTTTGATTATGATTCCCATCCGCGACAACACGCGTCAGCAATTAATTGGTTCTAAGTGGGTAGAACTGCACCGTCCATCAAGATAACTCATCCTCTATTTGAGAAAGAGGATTCTAATTTGTAAATTCATTCTGTAGAAGAAAAAAGTCCTCTCTCTTTTTTTACCAAAAAAACCCTGATTAGTTGAATCTCTTGCTTTCAATCTGTTGAAGAATTGATTTCAAAAAGATGTCGGGGAGAAAGATTACTTTGAAGAGCTCGGACGGCGAATCCTTCGAGGTCGATGAAGCGGTGGCTTTGGAATCTCAGACCATCAAACATATGATCGAAGACGACTGCGCCGATAACGGAATCCCCTTGCCCAATGTCACCAGTAAGATCCTCGCCAAGGTCATTGAGTACTGCAAAAAGCACGTTGATGCTCCTAGGACCGACGATCGATCAGCCGATGAAGACCTTAAGACTTGGGACGCTGACTTCGTCAAGGTCGATCAAGCTACTCTCTTCGATCTCATTTTGGTTAGTCTCTCTCTCTCTCTCTCTCTCTCTCTCTGGTGATGTTTCAATTATCTTTAATTTTTTTATCGGTGGCTAGGCTAGGATTTTGGAATTGGGGATATAGGAGAAACAAAATAGAATACGATTTGAATTTTTAGTTGTTTTTGGGTATATGATAAATGTGATGCGAATCGGGTTTTCGCGTAACAGGGAATCTTCTTTACTATGTTCAAATCGTTTGCTTTTAGTGATCTATAGGTTTTTTAATTTTGAAGGCTAATGAAAGGAATATACTTCGATGAATATGCAATCGTGTACATGTCGTAGAGTTTTCATAAATTTGAAGAAGCCATTGCAGTGCATCTTGTATTTCAAAGTATATAGACAAATATGCTGTGCCACTTCTTATGTATAACTCAAAATTCCCTGATTTTGTTTGATTCTCTCCTCGTTTAGTGATGAGACTGTTATTGTAGAAGCAGAAGCCCAACTTGTGTTATTAGATGAACTAGTTTGATTCTTTACTAATACCTTGTGTAAGTTGTAACTATAAGCAATAAAACACGTCAGAAGCATGAAATTCAGTACCTTCTTACAAGGTATGTTTGAGATTGTGCATATATTTGCAATTAGCAATCAGAACAGTAAATCTATAACTAATTGTCCTCTGTGCAAGTTGCAGTTTGGGTAAGGCCCGCTTGTTGCTTAGTGGAATTAATGTTGGAGTTGAACAATATTTATCCCGTTATTCATTAGGTTTTGTTGAAAACATCCTCTTTTTGTACTGTTTTTTGCAGGCAGCAAACTATTTGAACATCAAAGGCTTGCTGGATCTTACATGTCAAACCGTTGCTGACATGATAAAGGGAAAGACCCCTGAAGAGATCAGGAAGACATTTAACATCAAGAATGACTTCACCCCTGAGGAGGAGGAGGAAGTTCGCCGGGAGAATCAGTGGGCTTTTGAATGAACTATTGACTATTTGGATGTTATGAAAGCCTGGTATATTAGATGCATATAGTTATTATTGCTTTACTTCTTTCGCTGTTTTCATTGGTACTTTTGGATTTTCTGAGTTCTTTAAGTGACTTGTATGTTTAGTATCAAATGATTTTCATGATATCGGTTCCTTAATCTTTGGTTTTTGTGATGAATGCTTCCGTAAATCCCGTCCCATGTTTCTCCATGTTCATTATTCCGTTTTAATATTTTGTTCCATTTACCGAACCATGTCTAGAACTGAACATGAGCTGAGCAGAGAACCAGATATCTTCACTCTCTAATGAGCTGAGCTTGAGCAAACGGTCTCTGCTAAGAATGGGGACTCCTAAGAAAAAAAACAAGAGGAAAATGAGGGGATTTTTTTCAACTTGGATTTTAACCCATTTTTAATTTATTTTCTAGTGTGTTAACATAGATATTAATGATTATTACATTATAAAATGAAAAATATATAATAAGGCAATAATTTTATTGTTAGAGATATGATAGTCAAACAACAAATAAGTTAGAATGAACTTAAATCGGTTTGTTAAATGAATTTTAAACGAATAAAAAATGTTTTATTTGCGGATATTGGGGGATGTTTATTTGATTTCAGTAAATAAATTCTTCATTTTTCTCATGAATTGGACTGCCTCTAGAACATGATAAAAAAAAGTGTCTACCAAATTTATGGATCATTTGGCGAAAATGATAACACCAACAAACGGGAGAAATGCCACCTTCTCCTCACACGCAGCTTTAATCCACCAAATCCCATTAGTGCAGTTGCATTTCAGCAAACAAAGACACGCCTGTTTACGATCTGATCATACACACACAGACATTGAGCAGAGCTACCAAAGCTAGGGAGACTCGAAAGACAACTTAGTAAACATATAAATTACTAACATCGCAAACTCCGGTCCTCCAGAACCCAAATCCAAATTGGAGTTGAAGCTCCCAAAATCCCAAAGGCAGCAGTATTACATGAAGCTAAAAGTTACGAGGGTTTAGAAACTTAGGGCACAAAAGAAAAAAAATGGCGAGCTTTACCAACCAGCTTCTAAAAGAAGCAGGAACCGGATTTAGCAAAACTCTGTCGGACATCCTCGTTTGTCCACTCTCCAAACAAACTTGTTCTACATTACTTTCTTGTCTTTTTTTTTTTTTTTTTTGGTTTAGAACCAACACTTGCTGGGATATAAACAAATATGACGTGTTTTTCATAGCTACTGGAATGAGCATACAAATATTTTTTGTTCTTGAGTATTGCGTTGCTAAACTCATGCATTGAAATCATTTTTTGGGATCATCTTTGTGGGCAATCATTGCATTGAAGCATATTTTGAAAAGAATGTTCTGCCTGTAAATTACACTCGAGAACTGAAAAAGGTTCATGCCGGTTGCAGTCAATTATATTCCATCATCGTGTTGCTTCAATTAGAACATAGAAGCATGCTTGCCGAATCCATTGTACGCTGATTCTCTGGGACATTTAATTCACTTACCTAATGGATATGCCTGCAACTGATATCCTGATTGCCGTTGGTGTTTGAATCTTTTGGAATAAATATGACTACCGAAGCTCTCTCTACACTTATAGGCCGATCAAGGGATATGTGACTTATATTAGCTTCTATTGAAACAGTTTGGGTTATATATGAACCACTCTTAAGACGACGACAACAACAACAAAACCCAATTCCCATATGCAATGGGGTAAGGGGGAGATAGGGTAGTAGGCTGCCCCCAACGCCAGGTTGAGAGTAGCTTCCGTGGAAGACCTCCGGCAGTCAGAAAATTAAAAATATAGATAAAATGCAATGCATGTATAAATAAATACATAAATACATAGTTGAACACTATTCATATGCAATCATTAATATCATTAATATCATATGCGCGTTTGTAATGGGAAGTAATCCCTGTAAATAAATCCCTGCGAAAAAATCTCTGCATATAGACAAAAACGTAAGACACGGCTAAATTGGTATGAACCACTCTTAAGACAATTTGTGGTAATAGTGTAGAAAGTGGTATGTTAGTTCAATAAACAGACCTCGTATTTAGTAGTGAGGATATGTTCAACATTTTTGCAGCGGCAAACGGTTTCTGGCCAAGTTGATAGTTGCTTAGTGTAAGAATAGAGGAAGCAAAAAGAGCAGGGCAATGTGGTGATGAAGATGGATACGTGAGAAGGTTGATGTGGGGATCAGCAAGTTTACCTTAAGAAGATGTTCAAATATGTTATGTTGTGTGTCAACTGATGTAGTTGAACGCACGCAGAAAGAATTGGAAACGTCTGTAAAATGAAAGACTAGTTGGTCAAATTTGAAAAAATTGTTCCATTGCCGGGAATTGAACCCGGGTCTCCTGGGTGAAAGCCAGATATCCTAACCACTGGACGACAATGGAATGTTTGATTGAATGATGTAACATATTGTTTAAAATATATAAAACGTATACGTTCAGAGAGTGATATAAAGTTCTCAATTTTATGTGTTTTTTCTGCATTTCGACCGAGGAAAGATTACAAATGAGAGAGAAGATTTTTTTATTTTCGTTTTTATATGATTTGTTGTGACTTAATAATTTTTTTTATTTTCAAAATATCACTGGCTTCGTTTTGTTTGTGTTTATGTCCTTTTATATGTTTCATATATTTACTTTTATATATTACATTTCATGTATTATTTATTATTTTGTTCAATATCATGTTTTATAATGTTTGTTTAATTATTTTATATTATTATAATGATTTGTAATGATGATTCACTTTAGGAAAACATCTTGCTAAATTATTTGTAATTTATTTTAGATTACAACTGATGTTTTAAACAATATTATTCATGGTTATCTATAAAATTATCCTTCAAAAAATTATCACATAATTAACTTCACCATAATAACCTATTTAATCATTAGACCTTATTTACGAAGAACAATAATTCAAGATTTTCATATTTGACCTTCACAAAATAACACATCAAAATCGTTTTTAGCGGCGTTTTGAGAGTAAACGTCATCAACTTTAAACATATATCGGCGTTTACATTTAAAATGCCACAAAATGCTAACTTTAGAGGCGTTTCTTTACAAACGCCGCAATAATGTTCATCTATAGTGGCATTTTTTCAACAAACGCCGCAACAGAGTAGTAATTTAGCGACGTTTTTATATAAATGCCGTAATAGGGTTAACCTATATTGCTGTCTTTTCAATAAACGTCACAACAGATTAGATCGTTAGCGGCATTTTTATACAAACATCATAATAGGATTCACCTATAGTGGCATTACTTCAATAAACGCCGCAACATATTAGTCCTTTAGCGGCGTTTGTGTATACAAACGCCTCGATAACTCGTACAGTAGTGGTGTTTATTTGACAAACGCCGCTACATATATGTACTTTAGAACACCGCAATGTTTTATAATTTTAATCATGTAAACCCTTTCCCCTTTTCATATTTCCCATCTCCGTCGGACATACCCAAAAACTGACGTAAATCTGTTGCTACTCGTTGCCGCTCGAAGTTGTTGATGCCTCCATCGTTACGCCATCTCTTTTGAACCTCTTCTTCCCTAGAAACTTACATCTCTTTCATATCCAAGTTATACCTTGCAGCAGGCGTAACATCACAACAAAATCCGTAGCAGCAGGCACAACATCACAACAAATTTCCAAATCCAAGTATGTTTGATTTGAATTTTCTTGTGTTCTTTTTTTAGAAAGTTTAATTTGTTTTATAATTAAACATCAAACTTTGTTTGGATTCATTTGTGTTTTATTACCTTGGCTCTACCGAGTACTACTGTAAGTATTTTAGTTGTTTTTAGTTAGCTGCTGGTGTTGTATGTTCAGATTGGTGTCGTCGCTGGAAGTGTAGGGGTATGGGTGTTTTATGCCTCTGTGTTTCGTTGTTGGTGGCTCTACTTAACATTTAGCTTGTGGATTCAGATTTGCATTGGTGTGCCTTAGATGTTAGTCTCGTGTATGTGGTGCAGAGATATCTCCCTTCCCATCTTTGTTGTATTAGTAGTTGAGCCTACTGGTTGTAATTCAAGCATGGACTATAGTTGATGTACCAGGATGTAATGCTGCTGATCTAGTTTTGGTGATGTAATGTGAAGTGTTGGTTTGGTTTTTCTTTAGCTTGATTTTGACTTTGTTCCACAAGATCATGGTACACTCTTTTTCCTCCAACTGAAATTTAGAACTCAAATCAAAGTTGATAATTTTTAAGGCTTAAGGATCTCAAACTCCACTTTTATCATATGGTTTACAACCTTAAAGTAAGTCCTAGGTTAGATGTTAATGCAAATACATACATGATCTGTTTTTTCCATCGTACGATCTGATCTTGAAGCAAGCAATTAGTTTGGCTTGGAGTGTGAGTCGGTTCTGAAAGGATGACCTCAACATCTCATCCTAAACTTTATAATATTATTATAACGTCGAATCATGAATATAAATAAATACCTTGCACCTGCATTACATGTCTCAATTTCTCATTTCATGTTCCATCAAATGCTTAGTAGCTAACTACTAAATCCAACCTTATCTCTATTCTCCTTTTTCTTTTTCTCAAGTTTTAACGCAAAAAATATATATGGAAAAACGATAGTGTACAAATTTGATATTTTATATATGAAGTTATTACTTCATAACACCCCTAGAGACTTGATAGACATCAGGGATTGTACTAGTTAGATTTTATATCTTAATTATTTATATATGTTGATGTCGTCGAATTTAGTACGAATATTGGTAAAACAAAATCCATCTAAGAACAAGAACTTGCATTGAACATGAAATATAAAGGCAGTCCTTCCCACAGGTGGGAAGAAACTTATTAGGAAGCATACTTGACTTATTTTAACATTTTTGTTTAGCCATAAACCTAGCATTTGTCAATAGCTTCAAATCCATCACCTGGCTCCACCAATCCATGACTCTATAAGATATATGTTCAAGTTCCAATAGTAACTATCAATTTCTCTTTCGCATTGGATTTATTCTCGATTAGTGCTTTAACATATTATTCCATCAACATAATTTGAACTTACCAAATAATTTTGTTAATGGATTAAAATGTTTCTCATAAAGCATGAAGTAAAAAGATAATGATTCATG